CAGAATTTTCCCCAGTGATGCCAAATATTAGTATTTCTCATTTCCTTCCCTCTCCTGATTGCGGCTCCTGCTCCCTTCGTCACGACCCTGCTGACTTTGTGAATGACCCTGTGGTAGGGACATCTAGTGGGGTCTGTGTCCTCAAAAACTATCCCAATGGCTTTAGGGACAAGGAAGAAAAAAATGTGTATTATTAGAAGTGGATTGTTAGGAGAGAAGAGGAGGGATGAGCAAATAATAAAGAAAGATAACAGAGGAAGGGAGAAAAGGGAACATTTTGAAACACAGAAAGGATAGCAGATCAAAAAGAAAGCAAAAACAGGAGAAGGATGGGGAACAAGAAGATGGAGAAAATTAGGATGAAAGGCAAGGGAGAGGAAAAGAATGAAGACAAAAGGAAGAAAAAAAATATAGGCTAAACAGAGAGTAGCAAAGGAAAAAGAAAAAGAAAGGGAGAAAGTCTGGATTTCTCATGCAGTTACCAAATAACTTTATTAACAAGACTTTTTTAATGAGTTGCTTGGTGTTTATCTTAGATTGAGTTACAGAGAAACTTAATCCTTGAAGACACACCAGCATGAGGAATCTCCCTGGGTTTCCTTGTTGGCCTCCAAACCACATGCCATTGTTTTGACTCAATATGAAAAAGTTACACACATGAATCATGCTTATTTTGATATCTCCCAGTATATCCAGGAGTCTGCTACAACCAGCTTATGGCAGCTCCTGAGACCCAGTTTTTAATTTTCAAGAATTTTGTGAGCCAGTTGTTGAAAACAACCACTATTAAAAATAAAATTACATATACTTGCAATTAACTATATTAAAAAAAAAGGAACAACATTCGTTAGGTTGAAATTTTTCATGTGTTGGTTTCCTGTTTTGAGCTGTCTGTCCTCATTGACAATGTATCCGTCAGGGTCTTAGTGCTTTTCTATTTTAGTCAATTAGTTCTTTATATGAAAAAAGAATTTTATCTGTGACATTGGCTACCAGTTCACTTCCCAATTTATTATTTCCCCACTTGCCATTTCACAATGGCAAATATTTGTTTGCTTGCCCGTTTGCCTGTTTGTTTTAACATAGAGCTGTTTCCAGTTTTATGTAGTAAAATTTTATCTCTTTTCTGATTTTATTTAATCTTAGACAGTCCAGAACAATCTAGACTGAACATGATTAGCAACTTAGCTCCAGTTCCACATTTGGTGACATGAGATAATGAAGATGATAATAATAATAGTAACAGTAATAATGTCATCCTCATCATCGTATTAATAGCTAAAATTTGTTTTCTTTCTTCTTTTAACATTGGTTTTCACTTTGTGTCAGGTGCTGTTCTATGCACACTACATATATTAACTCATTTAATTCTCCTAACAATAGTACGAGACTGGGTGGGACTGCATGTGCTCCTCACCTCAATCTTAGGAAGAGAGGTTTCAACAGAGCCACTTGGAAAGCTTGTCATGTGAACTCTGCAGTTTGGGGGATATGTTGTCACTAGTCTTTAGTTTATATCTGGAAGTCTAAAGGTCTTGGCTAGCTACTGTAAGGATACATTTTACAAATAATGAAACCTAGGTTTAGAAAGTTTAAGTGTCCAAGGTCATTCCCAAATAAGTGATGAGGCTAGAATTGAAACCCAGACATTCAGAATCAGAGATTGCATATTTACTCATTTTGCAATATTTCCTCTAATTTACCTGTGGAAACTTTATTTTAATTACTATATATTTGTCCATACCTTGACCTGAATTCTTTATCTGCCAACTTAGAACTCTCTGGAAGGAGACTACCAAAACAATTTCAGCTGCCTGCCAGATTTCTTAAAACCACTTCTGAGATAAAATATTTTTATATAGGATTAATCTAACTTCTCAAAATCTTGAGTTTGTTACGTAAACTTTAATTGACTTTGTGCCTCCCTTTAAGGATATTTTTTAGACTTGCAAGATGTAAAGAGTTGAACTTAAAATTTATTTGTTGAAATCTTAAACCCAATACCTAAGATGTGACCTTTTGGAAATAGAATCATTGTGGATGTTATTAGTTAAGATTAAGTCATTAGGGTGGGTTCTAATCCAGTGATTGCTGATCTTATAAAGAAGGGAAATTTGGAGACAGGCATAGAAGGAAGATGATGTGAAGAGATATAGGGAAAAACAGCCCTCTATAAGCCAATGAGGAACAGGTATTTCCTCCTGTTTCAGAAGGAACCAACCCTGCCAACACCTTGTTATTGGACTTCTAGCCTCCAGAACTGTAAGCCAATAAATTTCTGTAGTCTTGGCCACTTCGGTTGAGGTATTTCGGTGTATCAGCCCTAGCAAACTAACACACAAGTGGTCCTGGGCAACTGAAACTTGGTTTTGAAATCTTGAAGTTCAATACAGGAAGTGCAATCATCCTAGAGAAAACAGGGAAAATCCAGTTCTGCTTGCAACTTCCATTACAGAGCAAGAGCTTTCATATATTTTTAGCATATACTTCATGATTTTAATTTTCTTTCCACTATTATTCCTTGTTGAAGTTTCAATGATGACTTTCCTATATCTCCAAGTTTTAACTTCATAGCTTGAAATTCAAGACCCTTGACAATATCCTCTTAATCCAACTTTCTTTTTTTTTTTTAAAGAAAAAAGATTGTATTTATTTACTTTTAGAGAGAGGGAAAGGGAGGGAGAAAGTCAGGGAAAGAAACAGGAATGAGCACAAGATACATCGACTGGGTCTCATACACCCCCAACCAGGGACCTGGCCCACAACCCAGGCCTGTGCCCTGACCCAGAATCAAACCAGCGACCTGTCGGTTTGCAGGCTGGCACTCAATCCAGGGAGCCACACCTTCCAGGGCTTAATCTAACTTCCCATACTCATATCTCACTATCATTTTTAATAAACTTGACAGTTCAGTAAAATTGGGACACTAGCCCAGAATAGGCCTGGACATTCCTGTCTTTTTTCTCTTCATCTCTCTATTTACAATCTCAATGGCCTTTCTATTCTTCATCACACATTGAAAAATCCCAAGTTAAAGTCTTCCTTCAAGGCTGAGTAGAAAAACCATTGTTTCTAAGATTTTCTTCACTCAATCTAAGTGGTCTACTGAACTTCAGTTGTATCTTTTTGCTTCATTGATTTTTTTATTTTAGTTATCTGGATACTTGTCATATCCTCTGATTGACTCCATGTTTCTTAGGGCAAGAAGCAACTAGTATATATATGTGTGTGTTATTTGAGTTTCTCTTACCAGAAGTGGAGACTGAGACAAGACTTTTATGTGGAGATCATTTGTTTGAAGATGTAAATCTCAGGGCTTTAGAGTAAGGGAAGTAAGAAGAATGAAACAAGGAAGAAGAGAAAGCCAATCTTAGAGTGAGTTGTTGATCTGGTTACTCCTATGGGTAAGTAATGTTCAGTCTTGCTGGGGACTCTTTGAGGAATGGTGTAGATTATGCCTCATTTTTTCCTTTGTTGTTGTTGTTGTGGGCTTTTTAACACAATCGAGATGTAATTGACATATAACATATTAGTTTCACATATACAACATCATGCTATATTGTATATATTGTGAAATGATCACCACGATAATTTTAACTAAAATTCATCACAGAACTATGCCTCATTTCTTTTTTTACCCCCAAAATAAAAGAGAGGAATATCTAAATGGTCAAGTGTCTCCTCAGGGGTATCTATGGCACTTCCAGGTTTGTGCCTCTACCAGAAAGGTTGAACAAGCTTCTGCCGACTTCCTGTGCAGTGGTGTTAGTGAAGCCAGAGGGCACAAAGTGAGACACAGATGGGGCAGCTAAGGCAAGGTGCCGCCAGGCTGCACCTGCCCACAGCTGGCTGCCAGAGACTAAGCGTAGACAGAATATTTGATGAGGATGAAAAATATCTGATAAAATAAACCTGGAAAAAAATATCTGATAGAGATTGCTCATTTCTTGCATTGCTTTCATCTGTCCATACCCTAGTTTAAGAGTTCCCCCCAAACAGGGATGCTGTGTATAGAAGTGGCACACATTGACTACATTCCTCCCCTGATCAGAAGAGCAAAGGCTCTCACGCATGCCAGTTCAGACAACTGGAGTCTCAGCAAGATCTCCAGCCACAGAAAACCAGACTCTGAATTTCCATGTGGCCTGAGATGTCACATACTTTTGGTTTGGGTCCCCCAGATGCAGCGCCTGAGACAAGTATTCACCCACAAGTCATTTACTTCAGAGCTGATCCAAGGAAACACTCTTGGAGGAATGATTATATGAGATAATAAAAATGAACCCAGTAAAGAATGCTTTATCAAGTTGTTTTCTACCACGGAGAATCAGAATTCTATCATACGGGGGAACTCGGGGAAAGTGTCAAGTACACCCCCAGATTTATCCCCTCCAAATGGGCAAAAAAGTTGGGGTATTTATCTGCCAATTTTATGTGTGGCATTGGTGAAGGACTGCTTCCAAGGACAATCTCCAGCACCTCTGGATTGCCCATTTTGTGGGCCAAGTGCAGAAGGAAATCCCTTCAGGCAAAGTGTCCCCAGCATTAACAATGAGCAGCCGTCAGCACATAGAGCCAAATGCTGAGTGGAAATGAAAAATGCACCAACAGCTATAGAAATCTGCTATACAAACCCAGCTACAGGTATAAAAGGCATGGCGTCTTCTAACATTAACCCCAGGACACGGGAACATCTATCACTAAGGTAGTTTGTACAGGTGCTTCTCTTGATTACATAATGAATTCAATGAATTCAGTCCTAGCAAAGAAATAAGTGAACCTCTCATATGCTAGAAATTAACTGTTTATATCAAAGTTGTATCATTTCATTCACTTTTATTACCATAAATGGTGAACTGGAGCCTGAAAAATACACATTTTTATCTATTTCATAAATTCAAAGTCATGTTTAGATTTGTGTTGATATGAAATAAAGTCATTGTTGAAACTTCCAAAAGCAGCCACAGTGAAAAGAGAATATTTTTAAATGCACGTGTGATCTATTCTTTTGTTTGCTCCATCAGCTTAATACAAATTGATGCTCTTAGGTTAGCCCAAAAAAGTCCATGTTTGCTCTTCTCCTTGGGCCATTCCAAGTAAGTCCTCTGCGCCATGAGAGTTTTGAGTTTGTGATAGTTGCTAGGAATAGAATATTTTGGAATGGGTTCCAGCAAGATCAGGATTAAGTTATTAGACCCTTCATGAAAGAGATTGTGGTGGGCAAAGTAGAGCTCATAATGGCACCACTCGCTCTGAACAAAGTTGGGAGACAAAACGAAGATGGACTTGTAGCTTTTCTCGATACAGTTTATGATATTTTCCACAATGCTCTTGCCAGGAACAAAGTTTCTCTCGTGGAGACAAATCTGTATATCTTCTTTTTCTAGGTTTGGTAGTAATTCACTCTTCACCCAGGCAGAATCATGTTCACTGTATGAAATAAAAGCGTGGAACTGGAAAGCTCTTTGGAGTTTGTCTAAAGGTATGTTCCTAGCCCTGTGCCGGGTCTGGATCCACTGACACATCATCCTGAGATACCAGGGAAGATCAAAATAGATACAGAGGACAGTCAGAGTAGCAGCCAACACAAGGCCAGTGACCCCTATAGTGACAATCAGCAGAGCTGGGTTGCAGGACAATGGAGATACGCGAAAATCCTTTAGTAGGGTCCCCTTATAGCTTCCTGGATAGTCACATTTGTAAGAGTCAGGCCAACCCTCTACCACTTCACTTGATACTTGGCCTATGCTTTGGATAAATTCTCTTAGCCCACACGTACATTGGAATGGATTGTTCCCTGCCTTTATGGACCTGATCTTCTGGCAGCTCTGGAAGAAATGAGCTGATGGATTGGAAATTGAATTATAGTCAATGATCAGTACAGAGAGGCTGCTAAAGGTACCACACCCAGGCAGGTGGAGTAAGGAATTGAAAGCAACGTTGAGTTCCTGCAAAGCTTCCAGACTGGTGACATCTTCAGGGATCCTGGTTATTCTGTTATTATGAAGGTCAAGAACCCTAACCCTAGGAGGTAAACAACTGAAAACAGAGTCAGTAAGTATATTTGAAGACAAATTTAAAATTAATAAACTAGTAGTCCAAGAACAATATCCTTCATTTTCATCATAACTTAGAGAATTCTGACTAATATCTAATTGTTGCAGAGACTTCATCTCCTTGGTCATATGACCTATATTTATAAGTTGTTTTAATTTATTCATCTGTAAACTAAGTGTCTCTAACCGAGCCAAGGTTCCACAATTGTTAAAAACTGTATCTGTTAAGAGATTATCAGAAAAATCCAAATGCAGAAATGGGCTCATTTGGGATGGACAAACCATGTGGAACATGTGTGTACCAGACACTGTGAAATTCTGGATGTTCATATTTGAAAAGATTCTATAGAGGTGACTTTGTGGAAAATTGAAGACATCACTGACAACTTGGTGAACAGACAAGGCCTTCAGTGAAGTGTCTGAATAATCAAAATCGATGACACCAAGGTGACCTTGTAGTTTCACATGTGAAATTGAGAAATATTTTATGCTTGTGTGCCAAACCAACTGGAGCATCCTAATGAAAGAATACCAAGTTGTTTCAATGTTGTTTAAAGTAAGATTTGATAAACGTGAATTCTTTTGAAGTTTTGACAGAACATTTAGGAAATAAGAACATTCACTCTCATCTAGCACACATTTGATATTAGACAGTTCCAGGCTTACTGCTGTGCTGGCTGACACATCCAAAATAAAGTGGAATTCCTTTCTTGTGGGGAAAACAATGTGCAGATTCTCTGTGTTAAGGTCTCGAAGGCTCTCAGGGTCTTCTTTCTCCCCATAAATATTCCCTAAGATCAGTAAAACCTTATTGATATGCAAATGAGCAATTGGCAGCATATTAGATTTTTGTAATTGTGTGGCACTCAAACCCAGAAATTCTAGTTGAGACATGTTGCCAAACTCTTTGCATATAGGCAGGGCATCAAATGCATTAAATGAGAGGTCTAAGTGCTTGAGATTCACAGTAGGGTAGCAAGAAATCTTCTTCAACTTGTTGTTGGACACATCCAAGTATTCCAATTCCTCATTAAATTTAAAAACACTGAGGTCAAGATACTGGATTTGATTATGAGAAATTATCAAAATCTTCAGCTTTGATAGTGATAGGATGTTAGATGTTCGAAGCTCAGATATATTGTTTTGTGATAGATCTAAGATTGTTGTTTTCACGGATAGGTCTTTGGGGACATGGATGAGACCTCTCTTTGATCTGTCAACTAAAAATTCACTTCCATCAGATAATTGGATTTTGATCTCAAGTATTAACATGAAGATGATGGCAAAATGGAAGGTGGTAGAATTAGTTTTAGTCATTTTGTAAGGCTAGACATTATAGTTGCTATTCTTCAGAGCATGTTGATATACAGATCCTAGAAAAAAGAAATGTCCACATTAAATGATTGCATTAAATTAGGCATAAGTGACATGAATCATTTTTTACTAGAGACTCATAAAGTGAAGGTGTCATTCCTTGGAGTCACATAATCTAAAACCAGGGAAATACACATAGTGATACATAATTATACTACCTCTTTGGTACAGTGACTTGAACGATGCCCTCCCCCCCAGTAGATATGTCCACCCCCTAACCACATCATAATCTGCAGACTCAGTGCATGTTACATTATTTGGAAAACATGGTCTTTGTAGAGATAATTAAGTATCTTGAAATGATCATTATTGATTATCCACATGGTCCTTAAGCCCAATGACAAGTGTTCTTAAAAGAGAAAGGCTGAGGGGTATTTGACAAAATGACAGCAGACAACAGAGACAAAGAGTGGGAAAGCCATGTGAAGACAGAGGCAGGAGTTGGAGGGATACAGCCACAAAGTGAGGAAGGACGACAGCCGCTGGAAGCTGGAAGAGGCTCTAGGCAGAGTACAGCCCTGCTGACGCCTTGATTTTGGACTCCTGGGCTCCAGAACCGTGAGAAAATAAATTTGTGTTGTTTGAAGCTACCAAGTATATGGTAATTTGTTGCAGCAGTCACAGGACTCTATACAGATGGTTTTACATATTCACAAAGACTTCCCACCCCAACCCTCCCGAGATCATTTAGAACTCAAGCTAGGTGTTCATAGCTGGTGTACTTTCTAAATTTAATGTACACTTTCCTGTGGCTTTCTTAAGTGTTTTCTTCCCATGTGGTTGAATTCAGACCCTTATTACATTACCTTTTTTATCTACACATGGTTTAGTGCCTAACTTTGGTTTATCCAAAAGGCAATTAGATCATAATAAATGGGCCTTCAGAAAATGCACTTATTCAATCAGTATTTACTGACACCCTATTGGCCATCTTTTAGGAACTGGAGATAAAGCAGTGAACAGGGTAAAATTCTAATTATCAAGGAGCTTATCATCTAGTGGGGGAGACAGAAAACAAACAAGTAAATGACTAAATGTAATATCATGTAGTGATAAGTGCTATATAGAAAAGTAAAGCAGAGTAATCAGGAATAATAGTAGGTATGTAACAGTGGTTGATGGTGGTCTTTTTAGATGGGTTAGTCAGAGAGAGCCTTTCTGAAAAAATGGCATTGAGGTAGAAACCGGAACAGAGCTCTCAGGGCGGGGAGTGGAGGGGAGCATTTCTGGTGAAGGAAAAGGCAAGCAGAAGGGTCCCGAGGTGGAAGTGAGGCTGACTTGTCTGAGGCACAGTGAGGAGGTCAGCGCCGTGCATGGGGCGAGCGAGGCCCAGGGCTGTGCAGGGTGCAAGTCATTGCCGGGCCTGGGGGGGGTGTTCTGAGAGTGAGGAGGGGGCGGTGAGCTGTGAGAGGTTTGGAGGATGGGAGAGGTTTCCTCGTCTCTCTTATTCAGAGAACTTTTTAAACTCATTTATCCGATATGTGTTTATTCTCTATGAAGAGAATGTGTTTTGTTCTAGGTCATGCTTATTGCTCTAGGTTATCAGCCCACTACTGCATTGTGCTTTGTATAATGCACACTCATGTTTTTGATCCAAACTTTCAGGGGGGGAAAAAAATCTTTCATTTTAATTTTTTAATTCAATTTTTTATTTATATATAAAACCGATCATCATATTCCGGGGTATTATTTTGTATATAGATATCATTATTGCTTTCTAGAGTTACACTTTTAATGCATATGTATAAATAAAGGAATTTAAAACATTTATATAGATACAGAATTAGTACTACCCACGAATAATGCACATCCTTATTTTTTCCTCAAAAATTTGGGCAAAAACATACACATTATAGCAAACTACAGGTATATCTCAGATGCTATTTTGTTACCACCATTTCAAAGGCACCTGAGACCGGAAGGAGTTGTGTTGAGGTGAACCCTAGAGAGTGATACATCCCTCCCTCCCAGAGATACTCGGAGCTGGTGCTACATGGCTACAGAGATCTTGCAAGGATATTATTCAAAATCCCCTAGACTGCATTAGGCAAGCAAACCAACAGTATCAGCAAAATCAAGTTCCTCTTTACATGTCCCCTCATCTCGCTCAGTGAGCACAGGAGGACCTGAATACAGTCAGCCCTCTCTAGTCCCAGGTTCTGCATCCACACATTTAACCAATCTCAGATCAAAAACATTCTTTAAAAAATGTGCTATTATTTCTGATGTGTGCTGTGTTGTTAAGCCTAAGATTGTTGCATCTCTGCTGAACATGTACAGGCTTTTCCCCATCTCATTACTCCCTCAACAATATAACTATTTACATAGCATTTACACTGTAGTAGGTTTAACAGTAATCTAGAAATGACTTAATGTATATGGGAGGATGTGCTTCAGTTACACGCAAATACGATGTCATTTTACAATGCATAAAAGACTTGAGCATCTGAGGACTTGGGTATAGAAGGGAGCCCTGGAACCATCCCCCACGGATGCCAAAGGCTGGCTCTAATTCAGGTCCCAGAAACAACTGTGTGTTGCAGAAGTTCTCCGAGTTAGACACGCAAAGGTATCTGGTTTTTGAAGCATTGCTTGGACTCCCCCTTTTGTAGAGGTGCCCCATGATCCCTGGCTATCCTGATTTCTCTTAATGTAGGAGAGGGCCCAGCAGCACCCCCTCCACCACCGCTCATGAAGACCCTGAGCAAGAAAGAGGACACACACATTAAAGTGCATGTTAAAAGTGAATGTGGCATATTTACGGCATTGATCGTATTTGACTGAAAGTCCCAGAAATTTCCCATTTCTTCCTCCTAGACTTCCTGAAAGAGCTACTGACGCAAAGAGAAGTAAAGTGATCACCAAAATAATATTCAAATATCACTGGGGCCAGTGCCTAATATCTCAAAACAAAACTATCTGGTAAAAGTAAGTCAAAGTAAAAGTAGTTTGGGCTTAACGCTCAAATGAGGTTCCTTACTTATTGAAAGACTGAATTCAAATCTGAGGGTGTTTCTGCCTTCTGGTCAACTCCAGGGTTCAAGAAGCAGCAATCAGTAGAGTCAGGCATGGAACACAGGCAGTGACCAGAGAGACAAGACCCCATGCCTGAGCAATGGGCAGGAGGGCTTAGTGCACAGCGACCCTGCCACGAGCAAGACCAAAGTTTCCTTCATTTCCTTAACAACAGCAACCATGGCGAATATTTAAATTCATAAAATTCTGCCCCTGAGTGTTTCATGAAAACATGGCGTCAGCTTGCTTTATTCAGCAAAATTAATTGATTCAGCTGTCTTCTATTTGCCCAACCTCTAGTTTGCCCTTTCATTTATAGTAATAAATTTGAAGTACTCAGAAGTATCATCTTTATTTCTGTAATTAAGGAGTCAAAGTATTGTACTTACGAGAAACTGAGTTTTAGGTACTTATAAGATCTTTAAATTTTATATATACACCAAACTTGTTAAATCAGTGAAAATCAATATTTTTTCATTAGAGTCCTAATAACCAGCACTGAATCTCATATATATTAGAACTTAAAAGTATTTTACTACCAAACAGAATGATTATTTGCCAAGTTGATTAGAAAAAGGATGATTTAATTTGAAAGAATAAAAGTATCTCTAGATGTGTCTATGTCAATTTCTGTGATACAGTAAGTTTAGCCTCCCAGTATATGATATGATGCATCAATTCATTTGAATTACCTTTGTTCAGAGACAGTTGGGGGCATCAAATCCGAACTTTGACTTGTCTTAACAGATAATCACACAATCTCTCCAGCCCACTGACTTCAGTCTGCAAATACTAAGTGAGCCTTTTCTGCATCAGGCCAACCAGCTATTAACCATAGGTTGAAAAGATCAGAATGAGTTCAAGAGCTTTTCTGCTTTGTTACCTGTGTGGTTTTGTGACTTTTTTTTTTTTTTTTTTGTAAAGACACACTCACTTTCAATTCTTTTGATCAAATTGGGAGACACCTGGGAAACATTTTCAAAACCTACCATTCCACCCAACCAGGAGCTCCACAGACTAGTTTCAGTGGTCTGAGAAAACAAAAGAATAGCTTGTGGCAACAGCCCAGAAAAGAAACTGAAATAAACCTGCCCACGAAAGCAGAGGAGTCACAAGGCAGCACTGCCTGCAGGAGTTTTTCTCAGCATTCCCATCACAAAGAGATGGAAGCGGGCAGTACGAAGAGCATACAACCTGAGGTCAGCAGCTAGCAGCTCCGTAAGGAAATCATGAGAAAATGTGTGTGACACAAATACTCATCTCCTGAATCAAATATATATCCCTTGCTAGCAAATTATGCTCGACATGAGGTGTCATTCAAGGAAAAAACAAACTCTCTCTCTCCTCTCTCTCTCTCTCTCTCTCTGACTGAGGAGAAAGAACTGATAAGCAAACGTTAGTTCAAACTGCAGTAAGTATACCTCAGAAATAACCCACTTAGAGAAACACCCAGGTATTAATCATAGAGACTGAGATTTTTGTGTCCAAATACTGGCTATAGCATTATGTTCCTTTATAGAATAATAATTTTAAGAAGATACCACTTACCAAAACAGTTTGCTCGTCTGTCTCACTGGCTGTCTCATTGGCGGTCTGTAGCAAAGTCAAATACTTCCTCAAGTATTTATTTCACTGGTAACCAGATTTAACCTTAGGAGCAGAGCTCTTTTGTGCCATCTATTGAATCCCGCTGAAATTACATTGCACAGTAAGTGTAAACCTATTTTCTCCTATTCATATGTAGAATATGGACTGTGGGTTAATTTGATAGGCCAGTATTAAAATAGAATTATATCTTTGTGGCTCTGTATTTCACTACCATCCGCTTACTATTGAACTGAAGGAGGTGGTATTAATAATCCACAGATCATTATTGGCTGAATCCAAAATGTTTATCTCTGTAGCCATGCGGGTAGGGGTGGGAATGCTGGTCTTGGGTATATTTCAGGTGTTTTGATTTTCTTTTTACCTTTTGATCAGTCCACTAGTAAGTGACAGAGTGGAAAGAGGGAGGGGTTGATGTCAAAATTTTGCTTAAACTCATTCATAAAGAGGAAAGACCATTCATGTGCTAATATAAAATGTGTATAAATCATGTCTTTTTTAAACAGATTTGTTTTCAGAGAAAATCTGGTGTTCAAATTGTTTTCCATTGTTATGTTCAAACATTCTTCAAAAGGGGATTTTTAAAAAAATTTTCCCGTTAAGAGCATGCTATCTACCAATCCCTATTTTCGGGTAAAGTCTAAAACACTTGCTTTGGGTTGTTGCCAGCACCCCCAAGGAATCCAATCTGATAGCTCCACTCTTGTCTTTTAAAATAGCAAAATAACGAAACAAAAAATGGACAAATAAAGGTACGAAATGCTGGCTGAGTTCCTCTGAACTTGTCCTCATCCTAGCGTTGCATGGCGTCCAGTCACAAACTGGACACAATGCTTTGCTGGAAGCTGCTTTTCTACCACCGTGAGCAAGGCCCACTTTCCTAAACGAAGAACCTGGGGATTTGGGGATTCTTTGGGACTTGCAATATTATCTATCTACCTATCGACCTTTCTCCCACCCCCTCACATTTTTTTAAAGAGGGAAAATGTGTCTATAAATATATTTCTGAAACTGAAAGAATGGACCTCCTCCCCGCTCCACTCCCACCGTTCCTTCCCTCAAACCCTGGAGGGTCTGGTCACTGGCTGTGTACCAAATGCCTAACTGGGGAGGAGGGTGGTCTTTGACTAAGAATTCAGTTCCTGGCTCCCAAAGTCAAAGGCATTTGACTTTGTAAACCAGGCCTAGAGACTGCAGTAGTCTCCCCCTTATCCACAGAAGATACATTCCAAGGCCCCCAATGGATAATATTAAATCCTATATATACTATGTTTTTTCCTACATATACAAACTGTTTCACTTAAAGGAAGCACTTTATGACTTTTCTTTGACATGTCTGAATTATCAGAATCACTACTCTTGCTCTTTAGGGCCATTATTAAATAATTTGAACACCAGCAAGTGGATCTCAGTTGGGCTTCTCATATCTCCTGGGCTCAGTGCTCACACAGAGCTAGTAGCTACCATAGTGGACAGCGCAGGCCTAGGTGGAGTTATCACAGCCATGCAAGTATGAGCCCAAGTTCGGTTAATAGCAGCCAAAAGAGCTAACTCAAACAAGAAGTCCCACGTGTTAGACTCAAGGCACCACTCTGCGTCTCTAAGTAGCAGTTTTTGTCCCCTACCCCCCCCCCCCCCCCCCCCATCCACACCCAGGCATTTCTTTTTGGAGCTGGGACAGTGTAAATATCCTGCAATTACATGCAGAGAAAGTTGACCTTTCTGTGCACAACTTGGATGAAAGTGCTTGTACTGATTCTGTGCGACCAGTAATATTAGCAAAGGGACCTAACTGGGATTGGACACCTGCTCTCTAATTTTTGCTTCTCTCACAGCATATTCATGTTACAACATAACTGTTCAGTCTTTTTATATTTGAGTATTAATGCAATGTATACTTTATTCCTGAATTTGTGCTCGAATTCAGAATTCAATAGAATCTGTATTTTTTTTAAAAAAGTGCTGTGATTTAGAAAAATAAATAAAAATAAAGTGTACAATTCGATGGCTTTAGGCATATTCACAGAGTTGTGCAACCATCGCCACAGTCCATTCGGAAACATTTCATCAGCCTAAAAGGAAACACCCCACCGCTGGGCTGCCGCCCTGTCCGCTCCCCTGCAGGCCCCAGCTCTACCCAACCGCAGCGGGGGGTGCACTTGATGCACTCGGCCCGAGAAAGAGCTCTCTGGGGCGTTTGTCCCAAGTGTGTGCCAGAGAACACATTTTATACATTCTCCACAAAGGAACGTTTTCCAGGTTTGTCAGTTTCATAGATGGTGATATCTCATATCGTTTCATTTTAATATTCTTTAATTATAAATGTCTGGGATGGTTTTCCATGTTTATGGGCAATTTGTATCCTTTAGTGAATTACCTGTTCACAAAATCTGGCTATGTCTCTTTCAGGGCTATGTTTTTACTATTTAATTACGTGTTCTCTTTTATGTTACTGACATCAACCCTCTGTCAAACTTTTTGCAAACATCTTCCCCCCATCATTTACTTTTTTATTTCATGATCTTTTGAACCAATAAATGCATACATTTTGATATAAACAAGTAGGTTGACTTTTTCTTTGCTATCACTGCCATTTAGTTTGGTAGGTTACAAAAAAGCCTGATTTGTAGCACTTGCTGATATGGGCAACGTATATATTTCCACTGTAGCACATTTCCAGCTACCAACTGACCTGCTTGCAAAATTCTTAAATATTTAACAACAGGCTCACAAATCTGTACAAACCAGCTCTAGCAGACCACTGTTACATTGCTTTTAGGTTTACAAAGTTCTTCTCCATAACACGGTCAAATAAACATATGTGCATGTGTTCTTCCTAAACATAATTTTGTTTAATTATTTTAATTTTTAATTATCCAAGTAATAAGTGTTTACTGAAGAAAAATGATAAAATATTAATCAAGAAAAGATCAAATCCATGATAACCTTACCCTACAGAGATAATTTAATATCTCGTTTGTTGCCGCCATGCAGACTTTTCCATGCAGACTAGGCTCTTGATGCCTCTCCTCAAACTGTCCAGAGAGCTTGTACCAATTTATTCTCCACCCCGACACACAGCCTTAAATCATGTGTACTGGTTTGTAATCTGCTTTTCTTAATCCATAACACATAGTAAATATCTTTTCATGTCAGTAAATATCCATCTACAGCTTTTATTACTGGCTGAATAGTAGTCCATTTTATTTCTAATGTTTTTTTAAAGTATTTTATTTATTAACTTTATTTTTATTTTTCAATTATGTTTATTCTACTACAGTTGTCTCAGTTTTTCCCCCTTTGCCCTCCTCCACCCATCCCACCCCGCCCCCCCCTCCCACAATCAATTCCCACTCTGTTGTCCATGTCCATGGGTCATTCAGACATGTTCTTTGTTTAATTCCTTCTCCTTATTTCCACCATTGTCCTCCTTCCCCATCTTCTCTGGTCACTTTCAGTCTGCTCCATGTTTCCATGCCTGTGGTTTATTTTGTTCATTAGTTTATTTTGTTGAATAGATTTCACTTATAGGTGAGATCATACGGTATTTGTCTTTCACTAACTGGCTTATTTCACTTAGCATAATATTCTCCACTTTCATCCATGTTGTCGCAAAACGTAGGAGTTCCTTCTTTCTTTCTTCTTCTTTTTTTTAATGCAGATTGAGTTTATTTATTTATTTAATTAACGTCAAGATCCATTATAAAATGTTAAAAAATTTAAATCCATTGTAAAGTTTCAGCAATCATGACAGCTGCACAAGTAGATCAACGAAATAAAATGAGCAGTCTAGAAACAAACATATATCTTTCTAACAGTGTAATATATGATTAAATTGATATTTCAAATCAATGGGGAAAATAAGGCTTATTCAATATATAAGGTGCATGGATCACTATTACTTGAAATAAAGCAAATATAGAGCCCTATTTCATACATTATACAACAAATATTCAGGTGAGTTAAAAATCAATATGTAAAACCTAAGGAGTTTTAGGCAAAAATACAAAATAATATTTTTCTTATCCTGAAGTAATATATTCAAATCCAGAAGCTACTAAGTAAAATATTGACAATATGACTATATTAAACATTTAAGACTATACCATAATATTCATGTAAAAAACGTTAAAGGACAAGCAATAGAATAGGAAAGTATTTGCAACACATCTATAAAAGGGTTAATGTATTTTTTTAGGGAAAAAAATTCTACAAACATTTAATCAAAAAATGGATAAAGAATATCAAAAAGTCATTTGAAGCTTTTTAAAAATAATACAAATAGGCAAGAAATATACAAAAACAGGTTTAGTTTCAACAAATAATAAAGGAACAATTAAAATAATACATCATTGTCACAATCAGATTAATGAGTATTAAAAATATTGGTAATATCAAGTATTGGTGACTGTGAAAGGAACTGGGTATTCATAGACTCTTTTTCTTCATCTTCTTAAAGTAGTCCCTTTGGCATATTTTGCACTGCTGGTTTGGTGGAGGTGTATTCTTTTAGCCTTCTTTTGTCTGAGAAGCTCCTTATTTTGCCTTCCATTTTAATTGAGAGCCTTGCTGGGTAGAGCAGTCTTGGTTGCAGGCCTTTGCTTTTCATGACTTGGAATATTTCTTACCATTCCCTTCTGGCTTGCAGTATTTCTGCTGAGAAGTCAGCTGCTAGCTGTACCGGGGCTCCCTTGTATTTTACTCCCTGTTTCTCCCTTGCTGCCTTTAGAATTCTCTGTTTGTCTTTAATATTTGCCATTTTAATGATGATGTGTCTTGGAGGGGGCCTCATTGGGTCCCTCTTTAATGGGATCTTCTGTGCTTCCTGGACTTGCCTGACATTTTGTCTCCTCAAATTAGGGAATTTACTTTTCAAATTACTTTTTCAAACAGGTTCTCTATTCCTTGCTCCTCTTCTTCTCCTTCTGGTATCCCTATTGTACAGATATTATTACGTTTCAGGTTGTCCTGCATTTCCCTAAATGCCTCTTCATTCTTTTTGAGTCTTTTTTCATTTTCTTGCT